CCAATATCATTTTTTTTAATCTTCTTTTTAGACTTAAAAAACACACACACACACACTCAGCAGAATTCTTTAAGACTTTAATTTGGTTGATACAAATACCAGATACATCACAAATTTTCCAATATCTTTCATTCCAGAACCATGCAAGATTATCCGTTTTACAAGACCATCAAAAGTGACATATTAACAAGACAGTAATACACTTCTGATGCCTAATCTCTTACATTTTTAACAGCATCATTGCCTTTTAGAAACTTGTATTATGAACCATGCCACCCGTGGCCAGTCATTGAATTAGTTTGGCAATCATGTCAATTACAAATGCTTACTTGTCAGAAATGAGAAAAAAAAATCTTTTGTTGGTTTTTAATCAAATGTGCATGTACACACACACACACATATATATATATATATATATATATATATATATATATATATATATATATATAGGGTCAATACATTCAGTTGAAAGTAAAAAATAAAATCATCCTTGATAATGGTTAAAAGTATAGCCAAAAACGCTTGGACATACAGAATCTTCATACAATTTCTACATAATTTATGCCCAGAAAAGAAGAAAATTATAAGAACACAAGAAAAATTAAATAAAAACTACAGTATCTTGTCATTTTAATAAAACTTGTGTGTGTGTGTGTGTGTATGTATATATATATATATATATATATATATATATATATATATAGGACTCTGCACTATGCCCCACAAGTAGGTTCTCCTGCTTGTGTGGCATGGTGCAGAGTCCTACTGCCAGACATTGGGTCTTCCAGCAGCCACCCTCTTGACTCAAGGCAGCGCACTACCCCCTCACTTGACTTAGGCCTCTATGTTGAGTCTGGGGACATCACAAACAATTCAGGAGTTCTTTTCTTATCAGAATGATGAGAGTGAGTTTTACGATCTGCCATACCTTCATAATCATGATTAAACTCATCCAACTCTTTCTGAATCCTCTGCACTAACCTCAGATTGATACCCAAACACTCTGAAATGTTCATATTGGAGTTTCCAACTCTAATATCAAGCAGTACATCATGCCATTTCCAAATTTCTGGTGGAGTAAATTGTCATGGTGCTCTTTTTCTCACAGACAGTGCCCAACTGACCCTACTATACTGTGCAGTCAACAAAAACAAACAATGCACATGCACAAAATTAAAAATATAAAATGGCAACAATTTATCCATTGCACCCAGTGTATTTTTATACACACACACATATAGCCTGACATGCTTTTACTAATTGAGCTACAGAGAAGCATTTCAGTTAGCAAGGTCAATTTTACTGTTTTTAAACTACAATTCTTCATTATTTTCTCTCATACATTCATATCTTCTCGATGCATATCCAAATATAAACAAATGACGTCACACATTATGAAATGGACAAAGTCCAACAATTATTTTAAGGCATTTTTTTATGTCTATACGTTCTTTTTATAGATACAAATGTTTAAATAAATGCTCTGTTTATGATAAACAGTATTAACAACATTTACCGGAGGACGCATATTTTCTATGCAAATTTCTCGGGCATTCAGAACGTACAAACATAAAAAATGTCTTAAAAAAATTAATAACTTTGTCCATTTATCCATTTATATATATATATATATATATATATATATATATATATATATATATATATAAGAGCAACAAGTATTCATCCAAACAAGGTGTGTCTGTTTAATTTTTTATTGCATTTTTTCAATTTTCATATAAAGTGTTGTCTATCCACAATTTCAATCCCAATACACAACTTATTAGAAAATTGGAAAAATACTTATTTAGCTAGCATGGTTGATTTTACATGTCAATCTTTACTGTTTTTTTTTTAATGTCAAATTTTGTATAGGGCACTCAGTGCGAATCAAACTCATTACTCAGTAGAAATAATCAACCAGACTAGCCATGTACCGCATTACTCCATGCTAAGGTGCCTTTAAGATCTCATATCAAAGAAGAAAAATATTTGGCATCAGTTAAAAGTACAAATTAGAAAAAGTTCCTTTTCAACTCTGCAAGGCTTAAGCTTATTGTGCTCATTGCATATACAGGTTTCATTAAGTTGTAACTCAAATGGTACATGGAAAATAATTATCATTAACGAGCGGACTATTGTTGTCATCTTTGTTGTTGTTATCACAACATTTTTGGCCATTGTGCCCACTGGCCTCGATCAGGTGTACGTCAATCTGGGTCAGCATATATCTGATAGGCACATTGGCCAAAATATTGTGATAACAACACCATAGATTTGGACAATAGTCTGAATGTGAGGAGTGTAAATGATAATAATAACACCTCATCCCAGAAATTTAGACAACTTATTTAAATGACTTTCTGCTCTCTCTCTCTATCTATCTATATATATATATATATATATATATATATATATATATATATATATATACATACACACACACACACACACACACACACACACATATGTGTATTTAGACATATATACATGCACAAAATTTTTTATCTATCTCTAATATTTAATTTTGATATGCTCTGATATTTTTTTTGTTTTTCTTCCATTTAATTTGTAATTTGTCAAGGTGGATATTTCTTCCACTGTTTCGCCCTCTGACTTTTCTTACTTTTTGCGGTCTTTTCTGATTTCAATTTCAGCTTTGCGTCTTATTACCTCTCAACTAAATAAAACCTCCAGAAATATCTTTATCCCTCCTCTATGCAATATTCCACCCACAATCTTTGACCCCCAGACCTTCCCACAAAAAAATCTGTATCCCTCAGATACTAATCAATTTATACCCTACTTTAGTAATATATATATATATATATATATATATATATATATATATAGATAGATATATAGATTTAAAAAAACTTTAAATAGCTGTATGGTCATAAACTCAGTTGGCTGTCAGCACACCATTGAAAGACGGATACTTTGACTCTATATTCTAAAAGACCAGATTCTCTGTCCGTCACATACAGCCTGCATGTGACTTTGCATGCATCTATGCAATGCATATTGATTGATTTGTTTTCTATGTCTTATTAACCCTTTGAAGGTTATTTAATCCAGAAAATCATTTTAAAATTGTAAGAATTTCTTTCTTTTTTTTTTCTTTTTTTTTTTTTTTTTTAAAGATAATAATGCTTTAGTGATACAAGTCTTATTACTTAACCAGTAGCTGGGGGAACAGATGGATCCATACCTAATCAGAATTTGATTAACAAACAAAATATGATAATGTGGGCATAAAGCAGGAGATCAATTCTATATTACAACCAATATATAAAATGATCCCTTACTTTGTGGTTACCATAGTTTCTATGCCTTTATATTTCAGAAATTGTAAATAAATCTAAAAGACATGCCTGTATAGTATAGCTAATCAGTATTTAACTGATTAATTAATTTTCTATGGCTTATCAACCCCTTTGCAAGTTATTTAAAACCAGAAAATATTTCTAGAGTTGAAGAATTATTATTTATTTTTTTTATTTTTTGAGATAACGATTTAGTGATGCAAGTCTTACTAATTAATCCATAGTTGGGGTTGAAGTGGATTTGAAAGTAAGTGAATATAACAAAGCCAACTGGAATTGGAACCTGGTTTTCTGATTAACAATTCTGAGCTGTTATCTATACACAACCCACATATCCAAGCTTACAGCAGCTGGTATTCCCAAGCAAGCACCCATCTAGGTACTGACCATGTTTGAGGTTGCTTAACTATGGTGATTGTACAGGAACAAGTTTTTCAACATGATGTAACCATAAGCCTGTATGGATATGCATATGTTGTGCATGAGTGACTTACATCTGCTTGTGTTATTTTTGCACATGCACACACATACACACATAAAGTTTGACTATGTTTGAAATAAGACATTGGAATAATGTATCTACTGCACATTCAGTCTGGATAAACCTTACCTTGAATTGTGCAATAAAATCATAAAGTTTGGGACAAGAAAAAAATAATTGTTTTGAAATGCTAGAAACATATGATAATTATAAGATTTTATTGAAAATTTTAGAAATTATTCGGTTATAATAAGAATTTTTTAAAAGATTTTTTTTTCTATAGATATCTTTAGGCTGGATTTAAAATTGATTTAAAATTTTCATGCACACATGCAAAAGTATATACGTATATAATTTTGAAATAGACATCTGTGCCATGAGAACTAATTTTTCTTTCTTTCTGTCTGGCAACAATTCCTGGAAAATAGGAAAAAGAGTATAAACTGAAATATGTGGCCCTTTGAAGTTATTTTTCATGATTCCTTCTGTATTTATATTGGATATATTTTCTAATAGATTTTATATTTTAAATAGACAATTTAGATTTTAAATTTGATCATTTTGATCAATTTTCTAATAGATGCATTTTAAATGGACAAGCAATTTAGATTTGATCATCTTGCCATCAGTGAAGTGACCTGTACTAAACTAGTAATCTTGTAAAGAATTAAATATTTTTAATATTCTGATTAAACCTATACATACGTGTTACTGAAGATTACCTTTTTCCAGATGCCTTTTCCTTGCCCTTACCCCAAGTCACACCCCTGGGTGACTATCTATTTTTCTGGAGATCAACTTTAAATTGCATCTTTTTTTCCTCAGCTTCTCAGGATGCATAAACATTTTTCTTTAATCTTCTAAAATTTTTGCTTTGAACCAATTTTATATTGAAAACATGTTTGTACATTTCTTTATTGTTTTTGCAGTTGTTGATGTTTTATTTATTATATATTTTTAAAAAAATAGTTGTTTTATATATATATATATATATATATATATGTAAATTGCTTTATTGATTGTTAATCATGTCTTCTTTTTTTTAATTTATAAATTATGGTATTCTGTTTATTGTTATATAAAATATTTACATTATTTTTTATGGTATTTTCATTATTTTTATATGTTTATCAGTTGGTAAATCTCTGCGTTTTTTAAAAGATGTTGTTGGTTTTTTTTTCTTACATTCTGTACAGAGTGCGGATGTGGGAAAGGTAAGATTTTGTGGTTGTCTGGATTTAAAAAAAAATGTCCCAAAAAATCTGTGTGTTGTGCCAAAATGAATGGATGCTCATCTTGTCTGTTGTTATTCTCTGTTGTCTTTGCCCTCGTCATCAGTGGATGTTAGAAAAACAAATTTAAACATGCCTGCATACACATAGAATTACATGCGTCTATAGACTAAGATTTTCTGCTTGGATTTAATTGTTAGAATAATCCATTGTTTTCTTCACAACCAGTTTGTCATAGATAAATCTTCAAAAAGCTTCAAACATGCACATTTAGAATATGCTTAAATATAGAAACTATTTTTATGAATCAAGATATTGTTTGTGTCAAGAAATTTGCTATATATAATACATTTGGAGTAATGTCCTCATCCTTGTTGTATCACCTCTGTCAATTGAGACCTGATAAAGATCAGAGCGCGCAACATCTAAAATGTTTTGGTAATAACAAAAAAAAAGCTCATAGCATTCGTCCAAATATAAATAATGTAAATAATATTAGTGCCTCATCAGACAAAAATGACGATAATACCTCATCAGACAGAAATAATGATAATGCCTTATCAGACAAAAATATCATGTCTCATCAAACAGAAATTATGTATACATTTTCCAATTATATATATCATATGGCAGATCATACCACAATATTGTGTAAAAATAATTTTTTTTTTTTTTTTCAAATTATTCCATTTCAAGGAGAATTTAGGGTATGTAATTGAATTTGAATGTTTTCATTATATCTCAAATTATTTTGGAGACTTTGTCTTTTCCTTAAACATTGGAGATTTTCTATGAATTAAGTAAATTAGAAATAGTTTCATATCTACAGCAACATCTACATTCAGACAAAAAGTTTCTACTGGTAGGTATAAATGTGGCATATAGATGTGCATTAAAAAACAGGTAATACACTAATATATGCACTTATATATTCCGATAAAAAATCCTGTGCAGTTCTAAACAAGAGAATGCATGTGTCTTTTTAGATATTTAATTCTACATGTACACTGAAAAAAATATGTTGGATTTATTTAAAGTTTTGTTTCAAATGTGTTTCCATAATTGTATGGATTTTTACCTACAATCACTTTAAGGTGCAAAGTAAGCAGATTGGTAGAAACCTATCATTAATATCAAATTTAAGAAACTGATAATTAATACTGGATTTTAAAAACCTATAATTAATGCAGATGGAGGCATGTGGAGAAATAGAAGCTCAGATTGAGGATTCAGAGAGCAGAGTTCAAATTCCAGTCAAGTTCATTACATTCACTTACATACTAATACCCTTGGGAAAGGTATAAATACATCTCCCCACCCCCAGTTATGAGTAAATAGCAGGACAGTTTGGTCCCTATGCCAACCAAGACAACCAGTTTAGGAGAAGGAAAAACTCAAAATTAAAACCAGCCTGGAAAAGGTTAGACACCATCAGGCTTTCTTGCTCACTATTGTTGCTGTGGCTAAGGAGATGTGGTGACCCTAAGTCATTAATGGGATTCGCGATAATACTTGATTTTAAGAATCCAGTCATTAATTCTGGGTTTAAAAAACCTATAATTAATACTGGATTTTAAGAAGCTTGTGTTCATGCAATCACCTGTAATAATTGCCATGGGGAGAATATTGGAGAAACCTCAAGGAATTTGAGATACACTCTGTTTTTCATTTTATTTTAAATGGTGTGTATTACATCTACAAGTCTGCACACTCAAGAAAACTTAATAAAGAAAATGTGCTCTCTGGCAGGGTTTAAATCTGTGTCCTCCTTTGTAGGAGAAACCACCATAAAAAATGACACATCCACTCCTCTGAACATACCATCAAATGGGCCAGTACAACCAGGCAACAATGCTATAACAATGCAGCAGTGAAAGTGTTAATCTTCCAGCCTATTCCAAACAGGCCAGCATAGCCAGACAAAAATACTGTAACAATGCAGCAATGAAATTGTTAATCTCCTAGCTTATTCCAAATGGGCCAGCACAGTTAGGCTCCAATGCTATAAAAATACATCAGTGAAAGTTGTAGTTTCCCTGTCTATACCAAATGGGCCAACACAATCATGCAACAATGCATTGGGGAAAGTATTAATATGAAAGCTAATAATTCTGCTTAATCTGCACCTTAAAGTACTTTGCAGTTTTAATGGGTTCATTAAATCCAATATTTCAATTTTTACTTTCTCCTTCAAAGTTTTTTTCTTCATTGCTATTTATTTGTCTACACATCACATTTACAGTTGAGGGTTATGACTGTAACAATCATGTTTTTTTTCTATAAGCATTCTACACATAAAATCTGCATCGGTTTATTTCTCATTCAACCCACTCACATAAATCATGCAATCTAAGCTTTGTTTGGACAAGTGAACTTTTCCTTTGTATTGTTGGTGTTACCATGGCATTTCATCCAGTCTATTTTGCAGCCTTCTTTAGATCTATAATTCATAAGGAAAGAAGAACGTTTTCTGAAGAAGGCCATATAACCTAATTAGCAACATTTCCTTCGTATTATAAATGTATGGAGAAAGAGCAATACTTAACTAGACTATTCAACTCATAAAATATAGGGGAAAAATTGTGGTGGGAGATAATTTTTGTAGATTTGCATTCATTAGCCCTTCTTCTTGGTTTGACATTTGTCAAAATCAAAAAAAAATATAGATCTTTTTTATCATTTTAGAAAGAAGATTCTGTTCCTAATATTGATAAAATTCAAAACCAATTTCTGGCTTTTTACAGAATTATCTGAACTTAGCTGTCCTTCATGTGAAAACAGACTTTTATTAGTTTATGTAAATTCTTGTTCTTTAATTAAAAATGTAATATGGCTTTGTGAATAAAAGTTGGTTGAAGTAATCCAGTGACTTGACCCAGAGAGTTGAGTTACTAATTGGAAATAACTGACACTGAGATATCTAGAAAAGGCATGACACGTGGAACTAGAACAATCTATTCCAGTGAATTAAATGAAGGGTTCAGTTTGAAATTCCAATGTATATCATCTGAAAAAGCTTAGAATGTACAACAGCCGAAACATCATGAATATGCCAGTAAAGATGATGGCAACTGTCCAAACACTGCAAATCGTGTAATTAATTACAGTACCTCATCTCAGAAATATAGACAGATGGTGTTTGTTTTTATTTAAAGTCAAATGAATGTTAAATCTCCAAAAATTATCTCACCCAACAAAAAAAATTTTCTCTGTTTTTCTATGACTACACTAGTCTATTTATATAGTGTCAGAGAAAGTACCACTCAGCTTCTTTTTTTTTTTTTTTCAAGGAACTGATACTTTATGGAACAGACTCCTGCATGGATCCTTCCTGAACACTAGAATCTTAACCTCTTCAAATTTATAATCAATCATTATCTATCCTCCTTATCCTCACTTGCTGCCACCTCTTATATTCTTATTACACCTCATCCATCATAACCATTTTAACAATAAATGTCTGCCTTGTGCGGCTCTTGGGCATTGTATTAAAGTTTAGTATTAAAAAAGCAGTTCAATTGAAACATTGTGGTAACAATGAAAGCAACACAAAGAATGAGTTCATTTGTCCAAACAAAGCTTGGATTATTTTATGACTTTATGTTTAGACAATAAATAATGCATCTTAGTTTTTCTATACTTAAATCTCCTACATGATAGCATATTATTGTCTAAGACAGGGTTTTTCAAACTGTGGGTCCTGACCCTTCAGTGGGTCGCAAGATAAATAAAATGGGTCACAACAAAAATGAATGAAAGAAAGAAAAAGAAAAAAATATGCAAGTGAAATCAAAGTGCAGAATAGAAACAACTTTAAATGTTGCACAGCACTCATAAATCATTGATAGTTTTTCACTGTGGTAAGCTCGTATTATTTTTTTTTTTTTAAATATAATTATATATATATATATATATATATATATATATATATATATATATATATATATATATATATATATATGTGTGTGTGTGTGTATATATATATATATATTTTCAATTAAAAGGTGCAAATATAATTTATAAATTCATGAATCATTCATACAAAAAACAAATATAGAGGTTAATGATTTAAATGGCGAGAATACTTTGTCGCAAACACATAAATAAGATACACCAACCCCGAACCTGTATATGAATGATATGATCCCCGTTTATAAATTCCAGTTGCATAAGGTCTTTTTAATTTTTTACAAGAAATTAAAATAACTGATCCAACGTGCAACTCTTGGATAATACAGTAATTATTGAACAATATAGTTCATGCCTTATTCACAGAAAATCTACAAGTAAAAAAGAATTCTCTTATTGCTATATTTGTACAAAAACGCAGAACCTTAAAATTTAAATTCAAACTCAGCGTTGCGACCGCACATTCCAAAACAATAACACATTTCTCATAGCATTTTTTCGGATTACATCTCTATTTTCATTGTCCTCTTATTACAGAGAAGTAAAAACAAGAACAAAATCTACTTCCATACCTGATGATGTCTGTAGGAACAGACGAAAGCTTGTAAAAAATTAAAAAGACCTTATGCAACTGGAATTTATAAACGGGGATCATATCATTCATATACAGGTTCGGGGTTGATGTATCTTATTTATATTGTTTGCGACAAAGTATTCTCGCCATTTAAATCATTAACCTCTATATTTGTTTTTTGTATGATTGATTCATGAATTTATAAATATATATATATATATATATATATATATATATATATATATATATATATATATATATATAAGAGAGAGAGAGAGAGCCTGTTCTCATTGATTTTATGTATCTTGTTTAGGCTTAAGAACAAAGGGGAATTTCCACTACTGTGTAAAAAGGCTATTTTATTACTATTGCCTTTTACAACTACTTACTTATGTGAACTAGGTTTTTCTAGCTTAACTCAATTTAAGACAAAGGACAGAAACAGGCTCAATACTTCACCTAATATGCGTGTAGCACTGTTTTCCTGTGTTCCCAATTG